TAATAAAAATTATCTCGGTGATAGAAAATGGCAGAGGTAAATTGGAAAAGATAAATGTACCCCTCAATATGGATGACGCAGAGACATAAAAAGAGTCGAGGCCAAAAGCTATTACTTTGGCTGCTATTTTGCATTCCTCCATTTTGAGCTTGAAACTAAAGTGAGTAAAATTTGGCTGATTTCTTTTTTTATGATTTATATCATATCATATGCCTTTCATGGTTTTCTCCAGCTCACCTTGATTCAATGGGGAAAAATTCTTTCTGATCTTTTGTTTCATACTTCGGAAACAAAAACAAATGAAATTGGTTTTTTTTATATATAAATTAAAAACCCCAGCTGTCCTTTGTCTCAGTTTCTTCCCCTCAAACAAGAAAACAGAGATGTAGATGTATCAATTGAAGACTTGCTTCTCATTCCATTCAAGTGACAATAATTCCCAGCGTCTTCCGAATATTACTAATATCTTACTCAATACACTAATTACAGATTTTCTTTGTAGAAACGCCACTATTTCTCATAGCATTTGCATAGATGCAACAAATGAGAATGAAGGGAACTTACTGACCTCATTTCTAAAAGCTCAAAATACGTAATCTTGTCCTGCTCGACTTTAAGGTGCATTTTAGAAAAGTTGACTGGCGTTTAAGGTTGTTTTACATCAGACAATCTCAGTGTTTAAAGACAGTGATGACAGAACAGTAATGAAGTGGTGGTTGGTGACTGAGGTAGGGAATATGGCAAGAGCAGTAGCAAGGGTAATTTGCTCTACTTGTGGTCCTCGCAGCCATAAGGAGAGGAGCGCAGGTCTTGGCAAATGGGACTCGCACAAATTGGAAAACCTTAATGTAGGTCAGTGGACAATAATGAAGGGGACAATGGCAAGAGGGAAGTTCTTTCTCTAATAGTTGCATGGCGAGTAAAGCCAGAGTTTTCTCTTGTTAACCTACTAAAATCAGCAATCTAGGTACGATGACAGGGAAAAAAAACCCCAAGAAATAGTAAACCTACCCATCAATTTTAGTGCTCCTAAAAGTTCGGATATTCACCATATCCCTAGTCATCAGTCATCACAAAAGCTTCCTACTAGAAGTCTAAAAAATATCTGCATAAACCCAATATGTAAAATAATGCAGGGAGTGTGCAGACCCAAGTACACCTTGGAATATAAATACCTTAACACAGCTCACTTAAGTAAATGGAATCAATTAGAATATCGTTTAAAAAAATAAAATAAAATTAGTACGCTGATCAGCATTCCATACATGATCATATGGTTTGCACACCCATTTCGACTTGAAATCCGAAAGTTGAAAAATGGTACAATTATTTATTGTCAAAACAGACGATCCACAAACAAATTTATTGAATTTGCATAAGGACTAATAGCAAAAAAAACCCCGTACCATCAAATTTGTCACTAAAAAAATAAAAATGTCAAAATAAAAAAGTAATCATTGCAATTTTAGTATTCATACTTTTTATTCTTTTATAAATTATACCCAAATTTTTTATGTACCATCCACAATTCTAAACCCCTAAAACTTTATTTTCCTCCCCACCCCACTTCATCTTCTTCCTCAAAACTTTATTATTTTATTTAATCATTTCCAAAACCCTCATAAATCTCTCACCCCAAATTCATCATTTCTTCTTTTCATTCCCAAAATAGGTCCTCACACACACGCAATGGTGCTTTACACAAAGCACGGTGGACAGTTGAATTTATCAAAGGCAAAAACACCGTAATCCGCCTTAAGAGCTGCCACGGATAATACCTCACGACAGTGAACGAGCCATTTCTTCTTAGCATGACGGAAAAAAAGGTTCTGCAAACTATTGAGACAACAAAAATGGACACTTCAATTGAATGAGAGCCTGTAAAAGAAGGGAATGATGTGAAACCGATGACGAGGGAAGGGAAATTTTTGAGGGCTAGTGGGGAAATGCCGCCATGGAGGAATTCAATAACTCATGATATTTCTCGTAGAACTGCAACTCAAAACTGGGTTTGTGGGGAGTAGATTTTTCTAATCTTGGGAATGAGAAGAATAAATGAAGAATTTGAAGTGAGAGATTTATGAGGGTTTCGGAAGGGATTAAATAAAATAATAAAATTGAAGAAGATAAAGTGGGGTGGGGTGAAAAACAAATTTTTAAAGGTTCGAGATTGTGTGTTGTACATAAAAAAATTTGGGTATAATTTGTAAAAGAATAAAAAGTTTGGATACTAATATTAAAATTATTACTTTTTAATTTTGATATTTTTACTGTTTTTAATGGCAAATTTGACGGTATGGGGTTTTTTCCGCACAAAAGGTTTCAAATAGGGAGTTTTCTGGGATTTCCAATAGGTAGGGAGTATATCATAAATGAAAATGTTTCTAAGGAAGTTTTATACTATTAATCCAACCAGGCAACGGAAAACAAAACAAGGCTATATTAACGAACTTTACAGTACAATATAATCTATAAACATTGTTTCATATATAATCACAGAGAACTGAAATTATAAGCTATGACCACTCTGTGCACTAATTTTCCTAAAAAAGGTTCAACAAATTTGAAATAATTACATGTTTTATATAATACGGAAGCAGAAATTAGGATGCTTAGTGGTCCAGCATTAACCTATGTATTGAACAAACAGATAAAAATTTTACTTTATGCAAACAAACAATTTCAGAGAACAGATTTGTGCAGTTAAAACGTATTTAAAAATTGATCCAGGATTTACGATAACCATGATTACCGGATAAAAGAAGTGAAAACTCTGATTGTGGAAGAAATGGAGGGGAGTTAATTTAATCAATGACGACTAAACTTTGCTATTGTTACCACTTGTTCATTGATATTTAAAAGGTTAATTGTTACTCAATAAACTTTGCTATATATTACTATTTGCTCATTGAAATTTAAAAATGAGCCGTGCTACATGTACTGAGGGGGGAGGGTGGGGCCTCAGCTCGGCATTTTTTAATGCGCGCGGAGCCTGCAAATCATGTGAGAGGGGGGACACAATTCGGTAGTCCCCCCTCAGTACAAATATCATTTTTCCTTAAAAATTTATTCATTGTTCAACTAAATTTGTACAAAGTCACTCGTTGCTCACTAAACTTTGTTATAGGTGTTATGGAAATGATACTGTGTTATGGGTAACTTTATTCAAATTTGAATGAGCAAAGATTAACATTTTAAATTTCGATGAATAAGTAGTAACATATAGCAAAGTTCAGTGAGCAAAGAATAACATTTTGAATTTCGATAAGTAAGTTGTAACCAGGGGCGGAGCTAGGGGGGTCCTGGGGGGACCCGGACCCCCCCAAATTTTTGACAATTTTTTTTTTAATTTTAAAATTTTATTTTTTGGTTCTTTTTAGTACTGTGGTAATAACAGAACTTTGCAGGTTGTGTAAATATTCCTCAGACGGGTTGGAATGGAAGATAATAAGTCCAGTTGCATATATCTCTCCCTTCGCTACAAGAAATTTAACTTTCAACACACAAAAATTGTTTCATTGTAAAAAAATCATTTTTGAGTTGTTTCGTCAAAAAAGGATCGTTGAGAATATAAAGACAAAAGTTTGTTAAAAGCTAAATTTCTTGGAGTATTGTAGTATCTCTCTCTCTTGTCCTCAAATTGAATAAAAATCTTAAATCCTAACAATTTCATTTTTCGTTTCCGTCTTCAAAGTATGAGAACTCGAAAGGAACACTTGTAATAAGGTATGATTTTGCTAAATTAAATATTGGTACTTTCTTTTATATGTTTTTTTGTTAATAAGGTATCCAAAAAAAAAAAAAATCGGGGGCCCCCACCCATTAATCTCTATGTCTTTTAATTCTGGGACCCCCCAACTTCAAACGGCTGGCTCCGCCCCTGGTTGTAACCTATAGTAAAGTTCAGTGATCATCGATTAAGTTAACTCAAAGGGAGGGAGATATAGGCAATTGAAATTCTTGGGCTCGGAATTTAGGTGTTACGTCGTCTAGCAAATCATATACTGACACGTAACACGTTAGGAGCGCATGGATTGAGTGATGCTTCTGCATGCAGAAAAGTAAATTAGTGGAAATTAAAAGTTTTATTTTTCACGCTTCGGCTTTTGCTGCTCTGGGTACCTATCAACTGGGCAGTGCTAACTGCTAAGGCCCGCGTTAAACCAAAAAATAATAACAAATAAATAAATAAAAATGAGGAAAATTGACACAAGTAACACTAAAAAGTCTGAGATTTTGATTTAGTGAGGTTACTGTAGGAAGGTCAATTGCATCGGATGAGGCACACATTAAGGACAGGTCCTGTTTGCCAGTTAGGGCTGACATTTACGAGCAAATTTACTTATAAGTAAATAGGAAAATTATAAAATTAGAGATTAACAAAATTAATTGAATGAACGGATAGATTCGATCTAATTTACTTAAGTTTTAAACTATTTTGATTACTAGGATTAAGAACTTACTAGTTCCATTCGGTTTAGTGCAAATTACCTAATTCCTTACTTTTCAAGATCTATTTTCCAAAATCCCCGACGACTTGATGGAGCATCGGCAGAGGCTGCGCATGCCTCTATTTACAAATCTCACACATCGTCGCCNTAATCAGATTCAGATTATAATTATATATATATAAAAATTATATTTTAATTTCATCCCAAATCAAACCCTAAATTCACTTATCCCCCTCTCCGTCACCGGCGACTTGATGGATTATCTGCGGAGGCGACTGCATCCGTTGGAGTGGTTGTGGTGGTGTTAACTCTCCCACCCCCACCCCCTATCTCTCCCTCTCTCAGCGGCAGAGAAGGTGACGGATCTGAAAATGGTGGTCGCTGTGAAGGTGGCGTCATAACCAGAAGAGAATCTCCGACGCAGCGTTGAGGTGCGGTGCGGTGGTGAGTGTAGCCGAGCAAAGCCCAGCCCATATTCACAGCTCACCAGGTTTACCACTGAACAAAAATGGCGGATTCAATGAAATTTAACAGAGGAAATTCGAAAAGATGCAAAATCAAAGATGTTCACTGGTACTTATGGACACACAGATTTTCTTACAGTAGTGAATTCATGCATTTTCTCGTAAGTTTCACATTCTTCATTATTTCAATTTATTTAATTTTTTCTGTAATTAAGATATTTTGGTTGTTGGAATTATGCTCAATGATGATTGATTTGCTTTAACCACACCGAAGAGAGCTGGCGGATTGGAAAACCTATTGAATTTAAGTAAAGGAATTTTTTATAATTTGCTTGGAAGTGGCTTTATGAATCTTTTCTCTATGGGTGTGAGAGTGCAATTCACTCTCCCTATTGAGTTCAGATGAAGGCTCTTTGAAACTCTTTATAAGTGTTGATTCCATTGGCTTAAATCCTTGAGGATTTCCTCTCCATTGGTATTCTCATGTGGAAAACTTTGGCCGTTTTTCTGAGTGCTAAATTCTCCATTCAAATTCATTCACATCATCTCTAAAATAACCCGAATAAATAAAGAGAACTGGATCAGTGAAAAGTTTTATTTTTTATATAGTGAAAAGCAACTAAAAATTTACAGCGATTATGATCGGAGGTGGAAGTGGGGTGTTGGTTAATTTGTGACCAACCATTTTGTTATATGTGACCTAAAAATTATATAATCTGTAATCGTAAAAGAATCTGTGACCAATTAGTTTGGAAATTCGTGATTGTGTGACATATAAATTTTGAAATCTGTGATCGAAGAATTAATTGTGACATATAAATTTTTTTTATATGTGACCATTAAAAATTTTGTGACCAACTAATTTGAAAATATATGACCTGCAAATAAATTGTGAACAAGTTATAATCGAGTGACCATTTGAAATTAAATTGTGACCATTAACAAGAAATTTGAGCCATGTGCAAAAAATCTCTGTGACCTGCATTGTGACCATTTGAAATTAACCGGTGAATATAAAAAAAAAATGAGCCATGTGCAAAATATTCTGTGACCAATGCTGTGGCCATTTGAAATAAGCATGTGACTATCAACAAAAACCAGAGCCATGTGCAAAAATATTTTGTGACCTGTGTTGTGGCCATTTGAAAATAACCTGTGACTATGAACAAAATCCGAAGCCACGTGCAATATATTATGTGACCTGTGCTGTGACCATTTGAAAATCACTCGTGACTATTAACAAAAATGTGAGACATGAACATTATCATGTTATCAATCATTATAAACAAACAACCACGCGTTGTGACTTGTGACCTGGGCTGTGACCATACAACTGGTAAGCTGTAACCATCAAATGCGAACGATGTGCTGATAGTGGTCACAACTGTACAAAAAAAAAAAAATCACGTCAAATGTACAAAAAAAAAATATGGCGGAGTTGTCGCCGAAATATTCATCGGAGTTGGAACAATTGGAGCAGTCGTCGGAATAAATCGACGGTAGAACGGTCATTGGAATATCCATCGGAATCGGAGCAGTAGTCGGAGCGGCAGGGGTGGTGGAGATAAGGTGAGTTAATTATATATATATATACAGAAATGATCTAATGAGCACCGGTGCTCATCTTATCTTAAGCACCAATGAGTTGGCACATTAATTCATTGGTGGATCACAAAATCTTAATCCACC